TCAGCCTTCCAAGTAGCTGGAACTACAGGCATGCACTACCACGCCCAGCTAATTTTTTAAATTTTATTGTAGAGATGAGGTCTCACCAAATTGCCCAGGCGGGTCTCGAACCCACGGGCTCAGGCAATCCACTCACCTCAGCCTTCCAAAGTGCTGGGGTTACAGGCTGAGCCACTGAGCCCGGCTGGTAGGACTTTTTAATTAGCAGGTTCTTTGCTGGAATTTTTTTTGTGAGAAGTTAATTAAAATCAAATAATACAGTATGTAAATATGCAAACTCATTCAATTGGTGATAATAAACTACAGTATACTGAAATGAAAGTACCTCTCTCAGTTTCACTGTGTATTACTTTGTCTCTACCCTTAGAATATCTCATTCACTGCTTGTGATACCTGATTGGTTGACATATGAATTGAGTGTATATGTTAAATAATAGTGAAACTTAATTTTCTTTAGATAACAGAAGTTGGAAACGTTTGCTTCCCATACACCAAGGGATTGTCTTTTGCACTTTCTGATATGATTTAATTTTTTTTTTTTTTGAGATGGGAACTCACTATAATCCAGGCTGGTCTAGAACTCCTGGACTCCGGCAATCCTCTCACCTCAGCCTCTTGAGTAGCTGAGACTACAGGCATCCATCACCATGCCTGGCTATATGACTGAATTCTGTATTGAAAATTACTGAAAACAATGTGTTCCTAGTAGCCTGGCCTTCAGTTTGACCTTCCCCATACTCAAGTTTTATCTTCAGATATTCCCTGACAAAATTTTGTGTTTTAACTGGACTGGTCTTGTTCTCTAAAACATTATGTTGTATTCTAAACAGTTAACTATTTTTCTTATTTGGAATGATGTTTATCTCTTTTCTACTTATTCAGATATGTTTAATTTTTTGTATAAAGGACATATGTATACTGCCACTCCCCTCTCCAGATAAGCTCTGATAAAAATCACAACATTCTTTTCTATTGAACATAGATCTATCCCAGAATCTCTCTCAACATAATCTTGTAGACAACCTTAAATTTGATAGGCGAATTGAAACCTATTCTTTTTTAGAGCACTCTTCATGTCCTGCCTTTTTTTTTTTTTAAGTTGGAGTCTCATTATGTCACCCAGACTGGAGTGCAGTGGCACGCTCCTAGCCACCGCAGCCTCGACCTGCTGGGCTCTGGGGATCCTTCCGCCTCAGCCTTCCAAGTAGCTGGAACTACAGGCATGCGCTACCACGCCCAGCTAATTTTTTTTTATTTTATTGTAGAGATGAGGTCTTACCAAGTTGCCCAGGCGGGTCTCAACCCCGTGGGCTCAGGCAATCCACTCACCTCAGCCTCCCAAAGCGCTGGGATTACAGGCTGAGCCACCGAACCCGGCACATGTCCTGCCTTTTAATTAACTTTTTGTTTTGTTTTTTGTTTTTTTGAGTTGGAGTCTCACTCCTTCGCCCAGGATGGGGTGCAATGGCACGCACTCTCACGGTCACCCCAGCGTCGGCTTTCTGGGTTCCAGCGATCCTTCTGCCTCAGCCTTCCAAGTAGCAGGAACTACAGACGTGTGCTACTATGCCTGGCTATTTTTTATTTTATTGTAGAGACGAGGTCTCACCAAGTTGCCCGGGCTGGTCTCAAACCCCGGGCTTGGGCAGTCCACTCGCCTCGGCCTCCTGAAGTGCTGGGATTACAGGCTGAGCCACTGGGCCTGGCCTAATTAACTTTTCTTTAACTGTGCTTTGTTTCTTCCTTCTGTATTTTAAGATATCCTGCCCATTAGTGTAGTTATTTATTGGTATCTCCTAATGCAAGGTTGTAAGCTTTTTGAGAACAAGGATTCTTACTAATATTTCAAAGTCTTTTAAAAGATTGCCTTAGATTGTTTATTTAACATTTATTATTGCTGACAAAAATACTTATGCATCACATGTTTTGTGTGAAAACACTGATGTGTTGATTATTGAATCCAAAATATTGAAATAGTGTAATTAGCAACCATATCTTACTAAAAATAGTTTTTAAAAAGTGGTTGATGAATTTGTGGTTTTGTTTTTTGCCTTTCATTCGTTTTTAAATAATGTTTCAGTTGATACAGAAGTCGATCGTTTAACTCAGGATAATTTTATGAGTTATTATTTTGTAATAGACATGTATTTCCTTTGAGTAATGTGAATGATTAAAACATTAAAAATTTTAAAATTATTTCAAAAATTAGATTTATAAATTAAATGTTGATTTAATACTTCTCAAAAGTATATTAAGTTCCTAAAGCAATAACTTTGTTTTGTTTAGAATACTCTCTAATATTAGGAAAACCCATAGTGAAATTTTCACAAGCAGGCCATATTTATTTTAAGAAAATAACTGAATAAGGCACAAAGATGTGTGACTTTAAGGAGATTGAGGAAAGGCTTTTAGATGAAATATTTAACTGTGTTAAATGCCTCTGAGATGTTAGATTAGTTAAGAACATAAATACAGGGTTACCAAAAAAAAGTATGCATATTTTTTTTTTTTTTTTTTTTTGAGTTGGAGTCTCACTCTGTCGCCCAGACTGGAGTGCAGTGGCCGCTCCCGGCCACCGCAGCCTCGGCCTGCTGGGCTCCGGCGATCCTTCCGCTTCAGCCTTCCGAGTAGCCGGAATTACAGGCATGCGCCACCACGCCCAGCTGATTTTTTTGATTTATTGTAGAGATGAGGTCTCGCTACCCAGGCGGGTCTCGAACCCGCGGGCTGAGGCAATTCACTCACCTCAGCCTCCCAAAGGCGCGGGATTACAGGCTGAGCCACCGAGCCCGGCTAAGTATGCATATTTTAAGAGATGTTATATATGTATATATTTTTGAAGTTGAGTTGAATTAAGGTAGCAGTGTAGTATGATGTTCACTCTACCATTTTCTTTGATTGTCCTGCCTGTTGCATGATGATGCTAGCATTCATTTGATTAATGCCGTCTTTGGAGCAAACGTCATACTTAAAGTGTGCATACATTTTTTGGGCACCCCCTGTATAGTGTTTTTAGCTGTATGGAGATCCTTGGTAACTTAAGATTTCAGAGTTAACAGGTGTTGACAGGATATAGAGCACAAGCGGAATTGGTTGTTAACTGGATGGCACGTATTTTCTGACTTAGGTGAAGGGAGGGCACAGATGAAGATGTTTGACAATAAAGGCCTGATACTAATTGATATACCTCACTAAAACTTGTGCTTTTTTTTTTTTTTTTTTTTACGGAACGCATTTACCAAAGACACCATAATATGATGTGGAAAGCATTTTAAAAACATAACTAACAATTGAAAAAACACCTAAGATACTTGATTTTAAAAAATAGATTTAGGATCTTTCTTTTGGTGATTCTGAATCAGTGTATCTGAAATCAGTACAGTACAGGGGCAAGGCATTCCAGACAGGAGGAGTAGCATTTAGAAAGGCATGTACTTTAAAAAGAAAAAAATTGGCCAGGGTTGGTGGCTCAGCCTGTAATCCCAGCACTTTGGGAGGCCAAAGCGAGTGGATTGCCTGAGCCTGCTGGTTCAAGACCAGTCCGGACAACTTGACGAGACCTCGTCTCTACAATAAATGAAAAAGTTAGCTGGGTGTGGTAGCACGCCTGTAGTTCCGGCTACATGGAGGGCTGAGGCCGAAGGATCACCGAAGCCCAGGCGGTTGATGCTGGGGTGGCAGTGAGTGTGCCACTGCACTCCAGCCTGGGCAACGGAGTGAGACTCCAACTCAAAAATAAAAATAAAAGAGAAAAAGAAAAAATTAAAAATAATTTTTTGTAGAGGCAAGGTCTTGGTATGTTCCCTAGGCTGGTCTTGAACTCCTGGGCTCAAACAGTCCTCTCACCTCAGCCTTCCAAACTACAGGGACTACAGGCATGAGCTACCACACCTGGCCTAGAAAGGCATAGACTTTTAAAAACACTGCAGCAAATTTGGGCTGTAGCAGAAATCCCTTTGAAACAACTACTTAAGAAATGGTATAATACTTAAAGTCAGGTAAAGCATTTTGTGCAGTGCCTGACACATAGTAAACAGTGAATTTTAGTCATTATAGTTATTATTCTCATGTTTCTTATTTTTCCAAAGACTAAATACTTGATATTGGTACTAGTTAATTTGCTTTAGTTGAATTTTAGAATGAAATGAGCTTTGAGAATGCATATGACTATAATTTGTGGTTTTGTTTTCACAGGATTTTCTCACTTCTCTCAGCAATACTACATTTGGGTAATATTTGTTATAAAAAGAAGACATACCGGGATGACTCCATTGATATTTGTAATCCTGAAGTTCTGCCTATTGTTTCAGAATTATTAGAAGTGAGTGATTACATTTTCAATTGTCATTTCAAATACTGGGTAACTTATTTTTTATTTTGTGTAACTGTTTTGTATGCATAAATGGGTTTATGTTTTATATAATGTTTTTATTAAACAATTTTTGTTTATTTATTTTTCTATTTTGTTAGAGATAGGATCTTGCTCTGTTGCCCAGACTGAATTGCAGTGGCATGATCACAGCTCACTGCAACCTTGACCTGCTGGGCTCAAGTGATCCTCCTGCATCAGCCTTCCAAGTAGGTGGAACTGCAGGCACACACTACAATGCCTGACTAAATTTTGTACTTTTTTTGTAGAGACAGGATTTCACTGTGTGACTCAGGTTGGTCTTGCACTCCTGGCCTCTAGTGATCTTCCCTCCTCTGCCTCCCAAAGTACTGGGATTACAGGTGTGAGCCACTGCTCCTGGCCAGACACTGTTTTTAAATAGTGTTTCCAAAAGATGGAATTTCTCCTGATACCTGCCTTACTTTTTTTTTTTAGTCAGAGTCTTACTCTGTTGCCTAGTCTAGAGTGCAGTAGCATGCTCAGGACCACCACAGCCTCAACTTGCTGGGCTCAGGCGATCCTTCTGCTTTAGCTTTCCAGGTAGCTGAAACTACAGGTGTGTGCCAACATGCTTGGCTAATATTTTTATTTATTGTAGAAACAAGGTCTTGCCAAGTTGCCCAGGCTAGTCTTAAACTCCTAGGTTCAAGCAGTCCTCTCACCTCCACCTCCCTACGTACTGGGATTACAGGCATTAGCCACTGCTCCTGGCTACCTGCCTTACTTTTCTATTGAGTATGCCAGGATCTTTAGAAGATTTGGGTTTTTTCCCTTGCCTGCACTTGCCCCAGACATCCATAATCCCTCAATTTGCTGGATAGATGAAATATTTCCACTCTAGACAGTATAATGTCCTGAGCCTATGCTAAATTTTCTCTTTTTATAGTTGGGATTTCTTTTCATTCTGAGATTTTTGGTTAGGTTATTTTATTTGAGGATGGCATATTTGGGTAAGTGGAGAGAAATGGTACTACTGTTCTTTTTCTTCATGGGTTTAATCAAGTTCCTTATTATTTCCTCCTGGAGTGATGATTTCTCATATTTTATGAGCTAACCTCTCATCTTGAAAGATTCACCCCATTAAATAGGGGGGTCATTTCTTACATGCCTTCTCATCTGACAGAGCAAGGAAATGCATATATGTATATTAACCTGTATATATACACATATGTATAAATATTTCTTTATGTGATCATCTGCATAAAGCTAAACATGAGTTCATACTGATATCTCCAGCTGTAATCCATTCCCACATGGATCATTCTAGCCTTCTCCCCTACATATCTCTAATCTCCAGCTTCAACAAGAAACCTTTCTCCTACCCTCCACCATCCCTTTACTTAATTGTTCAATTCCAGCATACATATTTAGTAGTAGGAATATTGTTAACACATACCCCTGTGGGGAATGACTTTATCAACTGAGTACAGTGCTTATGTATAAATTCATTTTGCCTTTGTCCTACAGACTTCACTAACTTTCACAGTTAATTTAGATCAGCACCATTTATTTCCTTTTGTTGAATTTACAGTTGTTTCATATATTTGTCATGCAGTTTGATCCTCTTGTCATAGTCCATATTCCTTCCTGGAATCCTCCAATCTCTTAGGTAGTTTTTTGGTTTGTTTTTTTTTTTGAGTTGGAGTCTCACTCGGTCGTCCAGACTGGAGTGCAGTGGCCGCTCCCGGCCACCGCAGCCTTGCCTGCTGGGCTCCGGCAATCCTTCCGCCTCAGCCTTCCGAGTAGCCGGAATTACAGGCATGCGCTGCCACGCCTGGCTGATTTTTTGATTTATTGGAGAGATGAGGTCTCGCCAAATTGCTCAGGCGGGTCTCGAACCCGCGGGCTCAGGCAATCCACTCACCTTAGCCTCCCAAAGGCGCGGGATTACAGGCTGAGCCACCGAGCCCGGCTCTTAGGTACTTTTTAAAGTTTGCTTACATTAAAATTCACTTTTGCCGGGCTCGGTGGCTCAGCCTGTAATCCCGCGCCTTTGGGAGACTGAGGTGAGTGGATTGCCTGAATCCACAGGTTCGAGACCCGCGGGTTCAAGACCCGCCCGGGCAGGGAGACCTCATCTCTACAATA